AAAATGTTATATTTTATTTATTGTATTTGGAGGCTTTGGTCTCGGACCCTAAAAGTCTTGGTCTTGACTCGGTACAATATGGTCTTGGTCTTGACTTGGTCTCGGGTTAGGTGGTCTTGAACACAACACTATGAGTAAGTGAGGAATGATTGGAATTACAGTAGTCCCTCCTACTTCGCGGTTCAACTTTTGTGGAATCGCTCTTTCATGGTTTTTCAAAGTAAGATTGTACACGAGCAAACTAAATTTCTTTCCAACAAGATTCAAATTCATTTGAACTGTAATTTACAAACTTTTACACCATTGTCCACTTTTTATTACATTTACATAAGAATGGTAATTTGAAAACGCAACTAGCAGAAGCACTTCCAGTGCAGCCTGGGGCATTTCTGGCAGTAATATTGTTATTTGGCCTGTCACAATAAACAATAAGGGTGCATTCACACTAGCCCCGTTTAGTCCACTTTAATCGAACTCTAGCTCGTTTTCCTAGAAAGTCCGGTTCGTTTGGGTAGGTGTGAACGCGCCATCGAACTCTGTCATGGAACAAAAAGGCGAACTCTGGCCCGGGCTAAAACCTAGGTCTCGGTCTGGTAGAAGAGAACTCCAGCGCGGTTCGAGTGCAGTGTGAATGCAAACAGACCGTACCCGCTCTACAGGGTAAACAAACACGCATTTCTCTGACCTCATATGGAGCCGTCAGCTGCCTTGTGTGAAAAAACAATATTCTCCATGGTCTTCTGTCTCATCTTCTGCTCATGCTAAATCCATTTTTGAAAAATGACTAAATATAACTCCTAAAACTTGATGCCACTTCATTTTATTTTTATTTACAGAAGAAGAAGAAGACGTGTCTTCAGAGGTTTTTGTGTCATTTCTTTCAGTAGTTCTTGGTGCAGCGCCCCCACAGGCGAGCGGGGGAATAGGTTGGTTCAACAGGTTGACTCAACTGCACAGTGCAGTGTGAATGCAAACGCACCAGTTCAAATGTAAACAAAAGCTCATGAATATTGGTCCCGAACCGAACTGAGTCTACCGGACTATCTAGTGTGAAAACGACCTGAATCAATTAAATCGCATGATAAATGAAAATGAGGTCGATAATTATCATTTATCAGCTTTATCGTTTCTTCATGTCTCTCTTTCTACTGAAGACACTGGATGACAAAAGGCTCAACTCTAGTGCTTCATTGACCACTCCCTTTCTCTTTAAAATCTGTTTTGACAATCCAAAATTACGTTTTTGTATCATTAAAAGCAGCTAAGCTAGGAGCTAAGCTAACAGGCTGACCTCAGGGGAGAAAAAAACCCCCCGTCTTGTCAAAGCTCCAAAATTCATGGTTGAAACCTGTGCCTTCATCTAAAGTTTTTTTTTATCTGCAAAAAGAAGCCGAGAACTTGTTTACTGATTCATTAAATGCTTTGAGTGAAAAATGCTATGCTAAAGAGCTCAAACTACACCGAGCGTCCGCCATTTTGAGAACCAAAAAACAAGGAGACAGCCCATGTCACGTCAAGGGGCGTCCCTCCCATTTTTCTTGACACGCTACTCGCTCCCTCACTATCCATCCTTCGGTTCAAACAGCCTTATACTGCCATACAGTGGTCAAAAAAGATACTACACCCAAAAATTGACCAACGTTTCTTCTTAAATTTGACAATAATTACTAATTATTGTCAAATTTTAAACAATATTATTGTTTATCTCAATAATTACTGAGACAATTAATCACCCAGCAAAATTTGTTACCGTGACATGCCTAACTGTAATGCTTTCAAACAGATTCAAAAAGGCTACAACTGGTAAGATCAATCAACCTTTATTTATACAGGTAAATCCCATTGAGCCTCGAGGACTCATTTACAAGAGAGACCTGATTTCAACAAAGAAAGATGACAACAACGGACAACAGCAACAACAATAAGCAGTTTTTTTTTTTTTTTTAACAAATAGGATGGCTAAAAGGAAAAAGGTAACAAAACAAAAAACAGCTAGATTCCAAGACAAATGTAGAAAACTAAAAACAGGAACATGTCTGCATTGGACCCTGCCAGGAGTCCAACAGATTCTTAAAGCCACTTAGAGAGGTCAAGGTCGAGAGCTTCAAATCTTTTTGTAAGATATTCCAGGAAACAGGAGCGGAGTAGGAGAAGGCCCTTTTGCCTAGTTCAGTCCTCACTGAGGGAACACTGCAGGTAATAATGCCCTGAGAGCGCACTCCGTAGCTGCACTCACGCAGAGACATGTAGGAGGAGATGTATGAAGGCAGCAGACCAAGAAGTGATTTAAAGATGAAAATGTACCAGTGAGAGAGTCTACGTGAAGTTAATGATGTCCAGTTAACCAATGAATACAGAGTGCAGTGGTGGGTACGATAATCACAGCCAGTTATGAATCTCAGTGCACCATGATAGACAGCATCCAACATCTGCAGGGTTCTTGTAGGAGCGTTCATGTAAATAATATCACCAAAATCAATTGAGGGAAGGAAAGTCACAGATACAAGGCGTTTTCTAGCATTCAGGGTTAGACAGGATTTGTTTCTGAAAAAGAAACCCAGTTTAACTTTCAGTTTCTTTACCAAGTTTTCCACATGGAGCTTAAAAGAGAGATGTGAGTCGACCAAGATACCCAAATACTTATAGGAATCAACAAACTCAATGGGGACACCATTTGAGGATAAAATCGGAGGAAGAACTGCTGGGACCAACTTCCTATTTGAAAAAAGCATCCCTTTGGTTTTTTCGGCATTTAGGACAAGTTTGAGGCGAAACAAATCAGTCTGGATGTAGTTAAATGCAGATTTCAAAAGCTGGAAAGCCTTAGCAACTGTTTTAGCTCGACAATAAACAACTGTGTCGTCAGCATAGAAATGTATGGATGCATTAGGGATGTTTTTGCCTACATTATGTATGTAGATTGTAAAGAGGGTGGGTCCTAAGACTGAGCCTTGTGGTACACCATTGTTGAATGTTAAATAACTGGAGGAAGTACCATTATGTTGAACACATTGCCTCCGGTCTGAAAGATAGTTAGAGAACCAACCAATAGTGTGATCTGAGAAACCAATTTCTGAGAGTTTATGACACAAGATGTTATGATCCACAGTGTCAAAAGCTTTAGACAGGTCTAAGAAAAGTGCAGCACAATAATCTTTAGCATCCAGTGCTTCAACAACGTCATTAAGAACCTTCAGTGAAGCAGTGGTTGTGCTGTGTTGTTTCCTGAAACCAGATTGATGTGGAGGTAAGATGTTAAATGAGTCCAGGTAATTTTTGATTTGAGAGTTTATCAGTTTTTCTAGAACCTTGGCTAAAATGCAGAGTTTAGAGATTGGTCGATAGTTGTTCAGTGAGGTGGGGTCTCCTCCCTTCAGCAAAGGAAGAACAAAGGCTGTTTTCCAAGTGTCTGGGATGGAGTTTTGTCTTATGGAGAGATTGAAGATGTGGGTCACAGGGACTGTGATGATATGAGCAGCCAGCCTTAAGAAATGAGGTGGAAGTTCATCTGGACCTGCAGATTTTTTAGGGTCAAGATCTTTTAACAGTTTATTGACCTCACTGACTGAGAATGGAGAAAAAGAGAAGGTGTGATTAACTGAGGATTGACTTGGAGGGATTTGATTTGTAGAAGTTTGGTTATTAAGTGAAGTGGCTGATCTTCCATTAGTAACTGTGTCAAATAAAGAACCAGAAGCAACAAAATGTTTGTTGAAACAGTTCAGGATCTCGTGCTTATTTGACACAGGAACAGAGTTAATGAGAAGTTGTGATGGGAGGTCAGATGATTGGGGGGTGCCTGAGAGAGATTTAATTGTTTTCCAGAATCTGTTAGGGTCATTTAGATTTTTGGAAGTCTGAGATAAGAAATAGTTGCGTTTTGCTGCTTTAACAGCAGTTGTGCATTTATTCCTCATCTGTCGAAAACTCAACCAATCAGTGTCTGAGCCAGATTTTCTTGCTGTGGCCCAAAGATGATCTCTCCTGTGCAGGAGGTCAGCTAGCTCTGGAGTAAACCAGGGGGTAAACTCCCTGAAAGATACTAACTGTTCATAAACCTTCCACAGAATCCACATCATAAAATCTGAATTATTCCTTTTGGAGAGATGTGGTTAGAACGTTACAAAGAACTCACCTTTTCCATGCTCATTTTCTCAGGCATGACGATGATGCAACGGTAGCCTTTTACAGCTGCAGCCAGAGCCAGTCCGATACCTGAGGCCACACAGGAACAGGTTTTATACCCCCCGCTGCTTGAAAACAACACTAGACATGCCTTGAAACGCATTTCCACACAGGAAGACGTCAGCACAAACGCATGCAGAGTTACCGGTGTTTCCAGAGGTGGGCTCTATAATCGTGTCTCCAGGCTTGAGAATCCCAGCTCTCTCAGCGTCCTCTACCATGCGAAGGCTGATCCGGTCCTTAACGCTTCCTCCAGCATTGAAGAACTCACACTTGGCCACTGCACACATGCGGAACGACGACAAAAATTGTTCCAAATGATTTTTATGAGCCTAAATATGGTAACACTTTCTTTAGTTTCATAGAAGTAACAAAAACACACACACCCCAACAACCTCATATTTACACTGTTTTACAGATGTCTCTGCTTGATAATACGAATGACTCACATATTTCACATTTGAGTCCAAACGCTTTGGGGATCTTGTTGATTCGTACCAGGGGAGTATCCCCGATCCTGTGCAGGATGTTTGGAAGGATGATAGGAGTGGCCTCCCTGGGAGGAGCAAATGGGAAAAATAAATACAAGTTTTAGCAAAAAGAAGGCGTAAACGTCTGGATTATAATACAACGAGGACAGAATACTTGTTTCTGCCTGTCTCACTCGTGTGAATGTTTCTGTTCAGTGCCCTGAGACGACTTCTGTTGTGACTTGGCGCTATATAAACAAACTGAACTGAATTGTGATCCATTTTTCTTCCGTACGTTTTTCAGCATCTTTCTCGTTCCACTATTTTTGTGACATTTCAACAAATCATTTATCAAAACGTTCAGCTCATTCAGGACAATCCTGCTATGACTTGTGGTATTGGTGCAACTTGAGCTTTTTGAAATATTTAGCCTTTTCTGCTGTTTTTTTCCCCTCATAGAAAATGAATTGAGCTCGTTTTACATCCTTCAAATCTTCAGCTCTATTTACAACCTTTTACTGCTCCTTTCACATTTTCTTCTGGTTCAGCTTCTTTCAGCTTCCTTGTGCAAACTCAAACATTTTTTTCAGCTACTTTCAGCTCATTTTTCAGCCGTTTTGTGCTCTTTTCAGATTCTTTCTGCAAAATCTCAGCTTTTTCTACCATTTCAGCTACTATACAGCTTTTTATGCTAATTTAAGCTTTTTCAGCTAATTCCACATTTTGTAAAATGCATTTCAAATTTTTTCAGCCTAATTCAGCAAAAATGTGCTCTTTCCACTTCTTTCTGGTAATTTAAGCTTCCTGCTGTCTTTTAGCTATTTTTCAGCTGTATTTGTTTGTTACTACCCCCCCCCCCCCCCAAAAAAAAATGTCATCACCAAACAAAAACAGGTCACACACTAATGTTTTGTTGGACCGCCTTTAGCTTTGATTACGGCATGCATTCACTGTCATTGTTTCAATAAATGTCACAAGATCTATTTCCATCCAGTGTTGCATTCATTTTTCACCAAGATTGATGACTAGGCATGATGGGTGCATCACTTCACCTGCCTCTCTTATTACCCTGATGCACCCATCACTCTGGAACAGGGTAAATCTGGACTCATCAGACCACATGACCTTCTTCCATTGCTCCAGAGTCCAATCTTTATGCTCTCTAGCAAACTGAAGCCTTTTTTCCAGTTAAGCCCCCAGTATACTGCCGCGTACGTCCATACGCAGAGGTATGCACGTACGTATGCAGAGGTACGTGCGTACCCCCCCAGCGTACCCTCCGTGCAAAGCTCAAATTTTTACGACCGCATACGCATACGCGTACGCGGTGTCGCACAATAAACTGCCCAGCGACGGACTGTTTTGTATGCGACACCAATGTATTAAATTCCCCTTCTTCATCCCTGATCTGGCCTTTACTTTTGTTTTTTTGCCAAGAGGCAGTGATCTCTTCCTCCTCCGTTGATGCCATGACTGAAATGGTGAGAAATGGAGGAATTTGTCACGAGCGAATTAAACTCAGGTCCAGTGTGGCTGCGGGAGGGTCTGGAGATTTCCTGGTGGGCTGGTCTGATGTGTGGGCTGTAGAGCCAGCGCTCTGGTTTTTTTTTGTTTTTAGATATTTTTATTAACAACATATAAACACAGAACACCGCTGCGGCGGAGGCCGTCAGCGCTCGTTTTTTTTTCTTTTTTCCGACCTGTCAATCAATCCAATAGGCGTGTCAGCAAATGACCAATCGGCGACCTCAATTTGTCCCGAAGGTAAACACCCCTTGTCTGTGAAGGTGCTCTGCAGCTGCTAGGGGTGTACGCTGGAGTATCATATCTGAACCCTCTGCATACCGTACACGTGTACGTACGCGTGAACGGACATACGCGGCAGTATACTGGAGCCTTAAGTCTCACCGATTAGTGGTTTTCTTAAGGCTACACATCAGTTCAGTCCCAATCCCTTGAGTTCCCTTCACATTGTACATGTGGAAATGCTCTTACTTTCACTATTAAACATAGCCCTGGGTGCTACTGTTGTTTTTCTTCAGTTTGATTTCACCAAACGTTTAAGTGATCGCCGATCACAATCATTCAGAATTTTTTTTCCGGCCACATTTTTTCCTCAAAGACGATGGGTCCCCACTATCCTTCCAGTTTTGAATAATGCGTTTGACAGTTCTTAACGCAATTTTAGTAGATTCTGCAATCTCCTTAGATGTTTTCTCTGCTTGATGCATGCCAATGATTTGAACCTTCTCAAACAGACTGACATCTTTTCGACGACAATACAATGTCTTTCGACATGGTTGTTTAAGAAATGAGAAGAAAATTGTGCTAAATTTAGCTTTTTCAGCCATTTCCACATTTCTTCTTCCACTTCCTTTTGGTAGTACAAGCATAATTTCTGCCTTTTCAGACATTTTTTTTTCCCTAAATTCAGCTTTTTTTTTGGGCCAGTTTCGTGCTAATTTAACCCTACTGTCAATCAGCAAATATGTGTTCTTTCTGCTTTGTTCTGCCAAGTTAGGCTTGTTCATCAATTTCAGCTACATTTCAGCATGTTTTTAGCCAATTTCAGCTGTTTTTCAGCAAGTTCTTCAACAATAAGCAGTCACACTGCATTTTCACAGGAAATGCAATTTCTCTAGTTTAGTTTACATTTCATTTCCCATAGACTTTTACTGGTTTAATAAAGACGATCCAATTTTTATCTCAAAAATAAATAAATGCAAACACAATTCTTACCTGGGAATTTGTGCATGAGGGGAGTCGGTCTTGGAGGCTTCCAAGCTCCATGTGCAGCGGCTGGGATGGTCTGGTCGGATCCATTTCCTATCAGGACTTGTGCTCTTTGTGCTGATCTGATTGGTTCTGTTCAAGCCTTCCTGGCTCTCTACCACGGTCAGCTTTTCAACTCCATTGATTGGAAACGAGCCCTCCTGGATCTTGGTGTCTCCGTTGCCGTGGTTGTGCAGCTTGGCAGTGTGCGGGCACACAGGGTTTTTGACAACAGTTTCTTTGGATGAAGGAACAGACGGCATGGCTTACCCTGCAGAATAACAGGAAACAGCATTATGCAATTGAAAGTTAGCAGTACTTTATCTAGATAATGATAAGCAAGGCCTGGTCTCACGTCAACAAAATCTGTCATAAATTAAAGGCCTAGCATTCCAGCCATTATCTTTGATAGCATCCTCAAACCATCGAGTTATACCATACCACTTTATTTACAAAGCACTTTAAAAAAGGCAACAAGGCCAACCATAGCAAAAAGTACATAAATCACAAAGAGGTAAAGATAAGAACTAAATGGCTAACAAATACAGACGAGTTAAAATCAGCTCACACAGTGTCAAAAGTCAGGGAGTAAAAGAGAATTTTTAAACGAGACTTCAAAACAGAGAGAGGGAGCCCGTCTGACATGCAGTGGTAACTCATACCACAGTTTTGGACTTGCAACAGAGAAGGTGTAACCTCTGAGCGTAAAACAAGTGCCTGGAACCAATAAAAGTATCTGGTCCGCTGACCTCAGAGAGCGCTGTGGGACATATGGCTGCAGCAGATCAGCGAGATAGGAGTGGTCAGAACTGTTCAGAGATTTAACAACATACGGAAGGATTTTTAAATGAATTCGAAAGTGAACCAGGAGCCAGTGAAGGGAGGCCAGAACTGGAGTGATGTGTTCTCTTTTGCCCGTACCAGTAACATACCCGTAAAAAAAAAATTGTGCTGCAGCATTTTGAACCAGTTGTAAACGTGCAATGGAGGTCTGACTGATTAAAAAAAAACAGAGCATTGTAGAAATCAAGCCTGGGTGTTATGAAAGCATGTATTATTGTTTCAAGATTACTTTTGGACAGTATGGGCTTCAATTTAGACAGTCGCCTCAACTGAGAAATAAAAAACAGGATCTAACAATCTAGGGTCTATTTTCACTCCCAGGTTAGTGACTACTTGTTTCTCTAAGGGGCTAGAGAGGGAAGGTTGATACAGTGGTTCCCGATTGTGCCTTCAGGTGGAAACAACATGACTTTTATCATCTTATGCAAAGCCATCCAGTCCCTGATGTCAGCCAGGCAGTCAAGAAGAGGTTAGTGTGCACCAGTGTGCTTCAAGGAGAGTAAATTTGGCAGTCATCGGCGTAAAAATGAAAAGGTATGCCGTGTTTACGAAAAATAGCATCTAGTAGCAGCAGGTATAAAGAAAAGAGAAGAGGACCGAGGATGGATCCCTGTGGTACCCCCCACTGAGTTATGTTTGTTCATTTGTCATATGCAGGTTCACACAAGGTCAACAATGTAATGAAATGTTCAGGATGAGAAGAACAGTTTAGTTCTAATCAGCTTCAGAACCGTAGAGTTCCATCGGCTCTAATGATCTGCAACTACAACAGCCTATCGTTAAGCCTCTATGAAGATACAAGGGTTAATGTTACTACACTAACGCTTTATTTAAGAAAAAGAAAATGCATTTGCAATGCTGGTATTTAGTTATATTTGTGATAAACTTAGGGAACCAAAAACTAACTTGTGGAGTTAAGGAACCAAAAAGTTAAATGCGAAGGTTAGAAGGAAGAAATGTCAAAAAGTAAGCCAACAAAACTGTTTAGGAAGCTACAGCCTTCTTAAAGCCTCTATAAAACTTTAATTACCTGACCCGAATAAAATAAAGCTCCACCGGTCAGAGTTTCCAACTTTCTTAAAGGTTTAGATGAAAGTGTAACAGTGTGTGTGCATGGAGACAAAAACACAGAAGTTCCCATTAAACGTATTTACGTACATCAACACGTGAGGTCATAAAATCAGTTGCAAACACTAAACAGTTCCCGTTAATGCTGAGTCACTACAGCACAAACAATTGGAAAAAAAAAAAAAAGCTCACTCCTACTTTGGCACAGGTGAGGTTACTCCTCCCTTGGTTTCTTTTCCGCAGGCGTTCATCGCCGATCGCCTCGTCATCGTGACGCAAACAAGTTCAGTTGGGGGAAGTTTGTTTTGACGGAGGATTTGTGAAGACAGTGAGCGTAACTGATGCAAGCTGCAGTGGGAGTTGCATCAGTCAATCAACAGCATAAAAACAAAAACTGTGTTCAAGACGTCAGAGATACACAGTCACAGAATTAATGCTCAGAATGTTCTTAGTAAAGATTTTAAAATCGCAGTGAGATCAACACAAATCTGCAGGCGTGCTCCTGTATCCACGTTTATGATCAAACACTAATCATCTTTATAATGTGGATATCGTCAACAATAAAATAATTGATACTCGGTCAAAAAGTAGTGAACAGTTTGGGCGATATGCATCTTTTTAGGACAGTGGGAATGTTTATGAAGCATTCACACTATCGTGATCCATTTTTCTTCTGTACGTTTTCCAGCAGCTTTCACGTTGCACAATTTTTGTGCCATTTCAACAAATCATTAATCAAAACGTTCAGCTCGTCCAGGAGAAAGGGGTTAGGACTTTTGGTGCAACTTTAGCTTTTTGAAATATTTAACCTTTTCTGCCATTTTTTTACTCTTAGAAAATGAATTGAGCTCATTTTACATCCTTCAAATCTTTAGATGCGTATACAGCCTTTTACTGCTCCTTTCACATTTTGTTCTGCTTCAGCTTCTTTCAGCTTCCTTGTGCAAATGTAAACTTTTTCCAACTACTTTCAGCTCATTTCAGCTGGGGTTTTTCAGTTGTTTTGTCATCCTTTAAGATTCATTCTGCTAACTACAACATTTTTATGTTTCTTCTAACTTCTTTCTGCTAATTTTAGCGTATTTATGCAAGTTTAACCTTTTTTTTCCCTAAAATTTCAGCTACTTTTTAGTGGTTTCATGCTAATCTTAGCTTTTTCAGCTAATTCCGCATTTTTGGCACTCATTTAATCTTTTTTAAAGCCTAATTCAGCAAAAATGTGCTCTCTCCACTTTCTTCTGGTAATTTAAGCTTCTTCCTGCTTTTTAAGCTACTTTTCAGCTTTTTTTTGCCAATAGCTTTTTCAGATAATGTCCACTTTAAGTGCTCATTCCTGCTTCTTTCAGCCTAATTAGGCAAATGTGTTCTTTCTGCTTTCTTCTTGTAGATTAAGCTGTGATTTATTTGTCTAAATAAATGTTGAATTGAAGCTTGTTTCATTTTTTTTTGCATTCTTTTGAGCAAATTTCAGCTGTTTTCAGATACATCAAGTTTTTCATGGTAATTTTTGCTACTTCCAGCCTAATTAACTCCTTTCTGCCAATTTCAGCTTATGTTACTTTCAGCTTATTTCTGCTAGTTTGTCTTTTCTGCTATTTCAGCAACTTTTTAGCCGTTTTGTGCTAAATTTAGCTTTTTCAGCTAATTCCCATTTTCTATTTCAGCTCCTTACACTTCCTTCTGGTAATTTAAGCTTCTCACTGCCTTTTCAGCTACTTTTCAGCCAAGTTTTGCTAATTTCAGCTTTTATAAGCTAATTTCCTTTTTTTTTTTTTTTTTTTTTTGCTAATTTCTGCTAATTTAAACCTAACTCGGCAAATGTGTGTTCTTTCTGCTAACTCAGGCTTGTTCTTGCCTTTCAGCTACATTTCAGCATGTTTTTAGCTAATTTCAGCTGTTTGTCAGCAGCACTGCATTTTCGCAGCAAATGCAATTTCTCTATTTGTTAATGTTTTCATATTAAAAAAAGGTTTTTTTCTTTCTTCCCCAATACTTTTCCTGTGTTTATGCAAAATATTATCCACTCAGAAGGTGCACCACACAATTTTACAGGTTAGCGCTCAAACGCCGCTGCGTAAACTCATCTGGAAATGCTCAGATGTAACTGGTGTTTATCGATTCTCAGTAGCTTCCAGTTAAAATGGCTGCACACGAACCGTCACTAACACGCAGAGTACACACCGGGGGCCATCTGTCAAGGCCGAGGCCTCTCTGTGGCTCCAAAGTGAGTTCAAACGATGTTCGTGCACTTCTTCTTAAACAAACAGCAATGAATGGAGTGACGGGGGAAAAAAAAGACGACCCCAAGACTCAACCAACACCAAGAATGTTCAGTGACCACAAACTTCCACCTTTCTTAGATTATTTCCTTGGATTTATTCATTTATTTTTGCACAAGGCAGTAAATTATTTGATCTCCTGCCACTGTCCGAATGCAAAAAGCAGCAGACAGGTGTGGCGCTCTCATTCATTCACACAAACTCTGTGACCGCTGCTGATTTAGGCTACAAAGCTGCCACAACTACAAATGTGGGAAAGGGGCTGTGGTATGTGGTGACCTTACAGGGTTCAACAAGGAAACCCGACCCCCTGAAGGCATTCAGCACGGCTGCAGGGCGACTAAAATGGAGGGTTTAACAAAAAGGGGAAACGTCTCTTTTTGAGTTTAATGAGGCACACCAAAGCCAAGTCAAATCTATAAAGCTGAAATGATCACCTGGTCAGACTTGGCAACATTAAGCCCAGTAATAAAACAAAGGGAAACCTTTATCAGACCCATTTAACTAAAAAATCTGCTTAGTTTCTAATCACCGTTGGTATGTTCACCCTGCAGATTTAGACAAGTTGAAGAGTTAAAATGGACTCAGTCAACCAAAGAAGGAGCTTTAACTGCAACAGAAGAAAAGGAGAAATCCAATAAAGTTCAGCCAGGTCATTTGGACGGTTTCTTTTTTATTGTTGAGACGTTTCGCCCTTCATCCAAAAAGGACTTCATCAATCTGAGGAGCCACAACAAAATTCCCACAAGCAGCACACTCACATAGTGGACCAACTATAGTGTGACGGTGAGAAGATGGTTCCTGGGGGCTGCCCTCTCCCCCGTCAACTCTTTTGAGGCAGCTATAACCAAAGTGGTTCAAAACATCAAAGTTCATGCTCAATCATCCAGGTAAAAAAAAAATCTGAATCAAAACAATCTCGGATTGATGAAGTCCTTTGGATGAAGGGCGAAGCGTCTCAACAACAAAAAAAAAAAGATGACCAGAGTGAAACTTAGTTGATTTTTTTTACCTATCGAACTTTTATGTTTTGTAAAGAAAGGAGAAATAAACCATTGTATTGTTTTTGTACTACTAGTGCTTAGCGTATTCTTAATTTAGTGTACTTCTTAGCTCATACCTTAGATCTTATTAGTATTTTTTTTTTTTTTTACAATATATGCTTTTGTTGGATGTAACTGGGACTGTGTGTACACAACTTCGTTCCACTATGTGTATGACAATAAAGAAACCTTGACCAAGGCAGAGTAAATTGTTGGCAAAAATGCAAGAACGGTGTCCTCAGAAATAAAATATAAAAAAAAGTAGACACTCATCATCTAACATTATGATTAAAACTTGGCATAAATATGCAAAAACCTACCATAAGTGTGCAGTAAAACACTTTGCAACAGCTGTTATCATTGCCTGATTAAAACAAATTACAACCGGTTTATTTAAGAAAAATACTCAGTAATTTCCACTAGTTATCTTAATGAGATCAAATTTAAGAGAGTTTTAGATGTTTTGCAGAATATAGCTAAATGTGGATTTGACTATAATAAAAATTACAACAAAAAAACAAGCTATCAAACGGTTGTTGCCGCCCATGACGTGCGACTTTTAATTCATTTGCTTTCCTTTTACAAGACATGGTTGAGAACTGAACAGATCAATTGAACAAATTAACCGACTTCATTGTATTTGTTGCCTACAGTTAATATCTACAGGCTTGGAAAAGTAAGGAAAAAAAAAAAGAGTAAGGTGATGGACTATTTGTAAATAGAAGCAAGAGCTAAGCGAGGTTATGTTCACATGATATGCTAATAGGTTACCCCAACAAAAACCAGAACTGCGCAGTGAAAATGTTGCATCAGCTCACCGTCCTTTCGTGTTTTAATGACCCAAACCCTAAAAAAACACCTCGTTATTTCATCTTTACTGTCTTTACATCTCTGCTCGGCCATGTTCACTCACCTGGAGCTTTAGAAGTACCTAAAAACGTCACAAATATCGTCCCACAACAAGATGCTCTACAGCCGACTCCGCATTGAAAATGAACACCCACTCTAGTAATAGAGAGCGGTACTGGAGCGCACGTGCAAGACACGCAAACCATGTGACTAAAGGGCGGAACGCTATTGGCTGCGGCGGGGGCGTCTGTTTGGACGGCTCGGCCAATCAGAGCAGAGATTTCTCAGTAAGGGCGTTCGGGTAAACGCCGAGTTAAAGTTACCCGAGCCAGCTGTTTACTTTTTTATTGAGCCAACACGCAGCGGACGGAGGCGGCTGCATGTGACAACTTGAGTGTCAAAGTGGCGAGCAGCTTGGATGTCAAAAAATGGCCGATGGTTTCAAATGTTTGAGAGGAGGTAGTAAAAAATGCAAGCTTCATTCACAGTACTTTTCTCTCTGCCATGGAGCAAGAAAAAGGAGGGCCAGTCATAAACATGCAGACAAGCCCCCTGTGACAAATCTGCCCCATACCCCTTTTTCCCCCCATTCGTTCAAACTTTATTTATACAGGTTAATCCCATTGAGCCTCGGGGACTCATTTACGAGACCTGACTTTATTTAAATCTGAACAGTTCTGCCCCCTGCTATCTCGCTGATCTGCCGCAGCCATATGCCCCACAGCATTCTGAGGTCAGCAGACCAGATGCTTTTATTGGTTCCAGCTCAGGCACTCGTTTTAAATTCAGAGGTGACAGGGTGCAGGTCCAAAACTGTGGAATGAGTTACCACGTGTCAGGCAGGCTCCCCCTGTGTTTAAGTCTCATTTGAAAACACTTTCTGTATTCTGTGTTAATCTAGTTGTTATCTTTACCCATTTGAATCTATGCATTTGATCCTGTGTCCTTTGTTTAGTTTTTGTTGTACAGCGTTGGCCTCGTTGCTGTTAAGTGCTTTATAAAGTGGTATAGTAATAAGGTATTTAATTACCCTGAACCATCAGCACTTCTTTCAACCCCAAACAAGAACCAAAATAAAATAAATATATATAAAATAATGGCTTTAACGTAGCCAGAAATACAGATTTTACTCAAATTTGTCGTGGTAGCAGATAAGAATCTTCCAAATCACATATTCCATGCACTGATCATGTGAGCTATGTTAAAATTTAGCCTACAATCAACTTTGCGTTTAATTCAACTCTTAAGAAATCACTGGATGTTCTATAACTGGAGTCAGCCCAAAGGCTACCACAGTCAAGTATACATAAGAAAAACTTATTGTATAAGCACATCATTTTGGTTGTTTTATGACGTTTATGTTTAAAATATGAAGCTTCATATTCGGCATTATCATTTTGCATTTGTGTTGTTCGTCACTTTGCATCTCTTTGCAACCTGTTACATCACTTCATGTCTATTTTACAACTGGTCATCCTGCAGACCTACCGGTAAATTAGAACTAAACAAGAAACACTCAGGATTGGCTCATTAAACGTTGGTTAACAGACAAAGTAAAATTTGTTTAACCCATAAAGCATGATTAATCAAGCTGAAATAAAAATGACCAATATATTTGTCAATATTAACATTGCATGCAAATTAATTCATTAAAACGGCTTAAAGCATCGATGGTGCCTATCCAGCAGTTAACAAGCTTAACTGAATGACAGTGGTTCCCAACACTGGTCCCTGACGAACACCACCCTGTATGTTTTAGCCGTTTCCCTGCTTCAACACACCTGATTCAATACAGGTGTGTCAAAGCAGGGATACAGCTCAAACATGCCGGATGGTGTTCCTCAGGGTCCAGGGTTGGGACCACTGGATTATGCTTTTCTTTTATCAGAGAAATTAAAAATATTTTAAGAAACCAAACAGAGAACCAGTTTTGTCCAGCTGACCATATATTTTTTCGTACTATAAACATCTACCGACTCTTCAGTTCAGAGATATCCAAATTGTGCCAGTGCAGTTACAAATCTGTTTTATTGAGAAAGCGACAAAAACTTGTTAAAAAAAAAAAAAATGAAAAGAAATAAAAGAATAGTTCCAACAATTCACAAAAACAAAAAAACAAACAAAAAAAAACTGTTCACTGCTGTGAGTTAGGAAGGAGGGATTCAGTGGGTGGGTTTTGGCTTCTTTCAGAATCTTCCGGAGCGTTCTCGATCCCTTGACCTCCGCCTCTCGCGGTCACGCCGACGATCCTTGGAGCGGGAACGTCGTTCTCGGGAGCGAGAGCGGTTCCTGGTGACACAGACAGAGGCATTTTATTTTTCAAACTGAAAAGAGGTTTTTTTAAAGCGTTTTCACCCCATTAAAAAAATAAATAAATGTCTGTACTTTTTCTTGCGGCGACCGTAAAGCTCCCTTCGAAGCTCCCGTGAGATGGGTTTCAGATGCATGAAGTTGCAGAAGCCGCCTCGAGTGCACTCTCTGTAAGACAGCAGCAAACGAAGAGTTAAAATGACCGGCCTTTTATTACATGGAGCCCTGCCATAAAAAAGATGGCTAATAGTTAGCCAAAGTTGAGGATCATGTCACCCCACCAAGCCATTTCTTTATCTCCCTGCTGGCAGGGTATAGATGAACCAAAACGCATGAGGAAAAACACTGAAGGACACAAAGCTTATCTTTGTTTTTAAATAAACATGTAGTTTACACAGCACCACTGCAGCTGCTACCGCTTCAACGTTGAACACCACGTAGAGTTTTCTTAAGCTTTATCACATCAGTTTACTAACGTCAGGCAGGTTTTCTCTTTAAAGCTCCTCAAAAGTTTTAGTTTGAAGAAAGTTTCGCTCTCAGATCAGATAGTGATCCAGCCAAAGGTCAGCGGTGAACACACAAGCTTTGTTATGACTTGAATAGCTTCTGTGGAGACTTGCTTCCCGCCTTTTCACCCTGCAGCCAACACTGCATGCCTTTTTTTAGTGCAAACCAGACAAACAGCAGAAAACTGATCATCCATTACAATAAAGAGCACCGGGTAGAATCACAACTGATATATCAGTAGAGCCGCTATTTTAGGCTGATATAGACGTTTGGGGACCTATCGGGATCTGTGATAATTGTCCCATTATGTGCCAATATAAGCACTTCTAACTTTCACCCCCATAATGCTAAGAATGAGCTGTAATGTACAAAGTATCCAGCAGAGGGCGCACGAAGACTACTTTCACTATTAGCACAGCAGAAGCAGGGAGCAATACTGTGTAGCTTATTTTGCTGAACTGAGCACGGTAAGTTTAACTGAACTGATCTGTAAAATAAAAAAAATAATCAGCAATAATAAATTCTCTTCAATCCTACAACCCGCTTGTCGTTAGCTATGTGCCTCTCAAGTTAGCATGCTAACGTTTAGATAATCTAGCATAGGCTATTGCTATGTAAAACAATAAATCTAGCGTAGAGGTAAAATATATCAGTTTTAGTAACGTTATCTTTGTCGTCCTCAATGAAATGTGTTGTTTGTCTGAAACTTCTCTGTGGAAAAACAACATCGTAATTTCAGGACGATAAGCCGCTACTTTTTACACAAGCTTTGAACCCCGCGGCTTATGCAATGATGCGGCTAATGTATGGATTTTTGTTTTTTGACGAGCTAATGAGCTTCCTGCCACCAAAACATTTGGCCTCGTCACACCCCGGCGCTCACATAGCTGCCCGATATACATCTCTCCGGGGGGGGGGGGGGGGGGAGTCGTCTTCATGACTCAATGAGACTACCAGGTTAACAAAATAATCTGAATGATGAAATCACCAAAACGGTCACAGTGGACCAATGAAACGAGGTGTGGAGGAGAGAACACAGTATTCGCAGCCACTCGATTTCAGTGTGAATCGTGTACTAAAGTGACACTTGAAGCTCGGTGGCAAGAAATCGTTTCCCAAAACTGGCGGCATGCAAAGAGCACCTTCTGCTCCAGTCTGCCAGTGGATCCTGACAGAGGAACAGGTTTTTTTTTTTTATCCTCTGCAGGAGGAAGCTGAAGATAGCAATCAGTGACTTCCTGGTAGGCTACTGTATTTATTTATTTATTTATTTTAACCAGCCGTGGAACAGGCACTTTTAAGAAAAAAACAAACATTTACTGTACGTATTTGTGTACGGTATCGATCCGTATTTAGTCAAAAGTTTAAAAATCTTTCTGTGTAAATGTCTCACATTACAACATGGACACCCGCGGCTTATACACAAGTGTAAGCGGAGGACAGAAAATGTGAACGCACATTACAAAGACTGTTTTCATAACCAGTGTATGAAAGTGATAAAGCAGTGATTAGTCTTTGTACAGAAATAGTAGAGTGCTGTATGAATGGGTAAATGAGGGCACAGATTGTAAAGTGCTTTGAGTATCTTGATAAGATAGAAAAGCGCTATATAAATACAGACCATTTACCATTAAAACAGATTCAAAAGTAGCTTCATTTACCAGATTCATGGGTGGACAAAGCGAAAACATTTTCAGCTAGTACGTATATCAGTTATCTGCATTAGCCGTCCCTTCCCAATATCAGCGTCCGCGGTAGTCAAAACTTCCATATCGGTCGAGCTCTAGTTACTACAACTTACATGTAGCGTAAAGGTGATTAGACGTCTGGTAAAAAAAAAACATACAATGTCTTGATGGATGCGAGTTGCATCTATTTGAACGTCGTATATCACGTATGTCCCCTCCAGCATGAAAACAAGTCAGATTACTGATAATTTTGAGTTTCTACTTGTCCCTGAGGAGTTTGTCAGCCAGGATAAAAACACATTCAATCTACAACCCAAGGTCTTTTTAGTTACAAGTCTGGAGAACAAAGTGTACTGAACCTCGCCAGGAAGTGGGAAAAGTGCTGCTTATAAGTTGGTTGGACAGTCCAAGAGACGCGTATTGTGCCTCACGTTTTTTATTGTTCAAGCTTGAAGGTCAGAACCACTAACTATGTATGAACTGCATCACCAACACAACCACATCCGTTTATCCTCGATGTACGTTGGGTTTAAAGGGCATTCTTTTTCAATGTGTGTTAAGAGCAGAAGAGACAAAGATCAAGATAAAGAAGTAACACAACCATAACTATCCTTAAAGCAGTCCTTCTCAATAGTGGGGCGCGCCCCCATGTGGGGGCTCGGAGCAATGCCAGGAGGGGGCGCATGTGACCCCGGGGAACATTTTGTGGCAGGGAGTAGTTTATTTTTTTGCACCATTCTCATTTTGTGAGGGTGCGTTCGGCAACTGTTCGCTAAAACCCAGCAACTCTCGGGCTCACTGATAATAAAGTTATGAACAAATATGGCTGTCTTGTCGTTTGGGGAGCCATGCGTGAACCGTGTCGCTTCCCGCTGCTGCTGAGAAACTCAGCAGGTGACGCTTGTCAGTCACCCACAACACGCATGCGACAGAGTATAAACTCAAAGCGAGAGCGTTACCCTCCTCTCCTCCTCTATCACCATTTTTTTTGTTTCGTTTTTTAGTTTGTCAAAGCACAATTTGTGCGTGTGTGGTTTTTTTTTATTATACAAAAGTAATGTTTAATAAATGTTAGGACTCTGTTCTTTGCTAATAAATCCTCCGCTCTGGACGCATTTCAGCCACAGCGCGCAGCAACAGAGTATAAACTCAAAGAGAGAGCGACACCTGCCCCTTCTTCTTTCACGTTGACAACTTGTTTGAGTTTTATCAATTGTCAAAGCACAATTCTGATGCTTTTCTTGTTGTAAAAACAGATGTTTAACAAATGTTAGGACTCTGTTCTTTGCTAACAAAATATATTTTATGTCATTAAACAAGTTGTCAGGTTCTTCTCTTGTGAGTGCGTTCCCCTGGACCCCCCCAACCCGCTCGCTCTTGCGCTCTTGCGCTCTTTGCGTCTTCTCTGCTGTTGCTGCTGTGAAGACCAAGTCCAGGTCCAGCTAAACACTGAGCAGGAGCCGAGAGCTGCAGGATCATGTTTCAAACTCCACTTCAAACAGCTGTGCACTGTAAAACGTGCTCATTGTAGCCATTAATCCTGACGTCCTCATTTTGAGTTAAAAAAAATCAGCACAAATTGTTTTATTCGTTTTTGTTTTGTAGGTCAAAGTGTTTTACGTAACACTCCTGACTTAAAATGTTGCTGATCGATTTGAATTTATTATATTTATTGATTGTATTTCATTTGATTGTTCAGTATCAAATGGTCAAAAATGTTTACAGTTTAAATAATAGATTTTTTTCAGGCAAATTGATGCACTTTAAGTCTTTTTCTGTTACAGACTATAAAACAATATTAATAATCTTTGTTGTAAGTTGATCTATATTTCTTTCTTTTTTAATGTAATGTTAATAAGGACACAATGTTATGCAGAGGTGTACTTATAACAATTTTATAGACAAATGATACTTTTTACAGTCGCGGCGGAGAGTTGGGGTGCGCAAAATGTTTACTTCTTTCTGTGGGGGGGCATAACAGAAAATAATTGAGAAGCACTGCCTTAAACTAACATGCTCCATCCATGCGTCTCAAAACTGAGATTTAATTATTTTTAACTTTTTTCTAGATGTAGATTTCAAAGGGTTTGCTCCACCACTTTTCTGTTCAGTTAAATAGCCGACGTGCAGCAAATGGTTATTTAACTGGGGAACGGTCAACTCAGAATCAATGTGTTGAAACTTTCACAGCAGACGAGAAAATCAGGAGTTTCTTGAGTTCATGGATACTCTTTTTTTTTAAATTCACTCATTTGACCAACAAGCGAACTGAAGCTGTACTTTAAACCACATTAACCAGACAATTTTAGTGTCATCAAGAGTCTGATACGGGTGGTTTTCTTGCTGCTACGTACCCCATTTCATACTGGCGACAGCAGGCCTCTCTGAAGTCAGTAACAGGGGAGAGCTCTGCGTTGATGGGTTGGCCGTTGAACCAGCGGTTGTTCAGGTCCAAAACTGCTTTCTCTGCGTCCTCTTCACGGCGAAACTACAAAAAGAACAGTTTGTAAACGACAGCTGTCATGATACAACTGTCCAAAAAAAAAAAAAAAAACTGTTTTGGCATCACCATAGTTTAGCACGCAATTTTTTTCCCCTCTCTAAAATAGCCAGACAATTTACCCACCTTTACATAGACATTGCCGACAAGATGGTCGCCTAAGTTGTCACACACGTTCATCTCCTCCACCTCTCCGTACTTCTCCTCCATCTCTGTGAAAACTTCCTGAACAGAGAATAAGAGCGGGGAAAAAAAAGAAGACAATTACTCTTTAAGTTTTAAAGCATTTACAGATATTTAAACTTCGTTTTTACAAACCGGATTCCTAAAAAGTTGGGACACTAAACAAATTGTGAATAAAAACTGAATGCAATGATGTGGAGATGGCAAATGTAAATATTTTATTCGTAATATAACATAGATGACAGATCAAAAGTTTAATCTGAGTAAATGTAACATTTGAAAGGAAAAATATGTTGATTCAAAATTTCACAGTGTCAACAAATCCCCAAAAAGTTGGGACAAGTAGCAATAAGTGGCTGGAAAAAGGAAACTGAGCATATAAGGAAAAGCTGGAAGACCAATTAACACTAATTAGGTCAATTGACAACATGATTGGGTATAAAAAGAGCTTCTCAGAGTGTCAGTGTCTCTCAGAAGCCAAGATGGTAAGAGGATCACCAATTCCACCATTGTTGCGCAGAAAGATAGTGCAGCAATACCAGAATGGTGTTACCCAGCGTAAAATAGCAAAGACTTTTAAGTTATCATCATCAACCGTGCATAACATCATCAAAAGATTCAGAGAATCTGGAACAATCGCTGTGTGTAAGGGTCAAGACCGTAAAACTTTACTGGATGCTCATGATCTCAGGGCCCTTAAACGTCACTGCACCTCAAACAGGAATGCCACTGTCAAGGAAATAACAGAATGGGCTCAGGAATACTTCCAGAAAGCATTGTCAGTGAACACAATCCACCGTGCCATCCGCCGTTGCCAGCTGAAACTCTACAGTGCAAAGAGGAAGCCATTTCTAAGCAAGCTCCACAAGCTCAGATGTTTGCACTGGGCCAGGGGTCATTTAAAATAGAGTGTGGCAAAATGGAAGACTGTTCTGTGGTCAGATGAGTCACGATTTGAAGTTCTTTATGGAACACTGGGACGCCATGTCATCCGGACCAGAGAGGACAAGGATAGCCCAAGTTGTTATCAACACTCCGTTCAGAAGCCTGCATCACTGATGGTATGGGGTTGCATGAGCGCTTGTGGCATGGGCAGCTTGCATGTCTGGAAAGGCACCATTAATGCAGAGAACTATGTTCAGGTTCTAGAACAACATATACTCCCATCTAGACGTCATCTCTTTCAGGGAAGACCCTGCATTTTTCAACACGATAATGCCAGACCACATTCTGCAGCAATCACAACATCATGGCTACGTAGGAGAAGGATCCGGGTACTGAAATGGCCAGCCTGCAGTCCAGATCTTTCACCTATAGAGAACATTTGGCGCATCATAAAGAGGAAGGTGCGACAAAGAAGGCCCAAGACGATTGAACAGTTAGAGGCCTGTATTAGACATGAATGGGAGAGCATTCCTATTTCTAAACTTGAGAAACTGGTCTCCTCTGTCCCCAGACGTCTGTTGAGTGTTGTAAGAAGAAGGGGGGATGCCACACAGTGGTAAAAATGGACTTGTCCCAACTTTTTTGGGATTTGTTGACGCCATGAAATTTGGAAACAACAGATTTTTCCCTTAAAATGATACATTCTCTCAGTTTAAACTTTTGATCTGTGATTTGTGTTTTATTCTGAATAAAATATTAGATGTTGGCACCTCCACATCATTGCATTCAGTTTTTATTCACAATTTGTTTAGTGTCCCAACTTTTTTGGAATCCGGTTTGTACTTGTTAGACACTAAACTCTTGTTCTTTTTTCCCAAAATTATCAAGAACTTTTTTATTTGTTTCAGACAAACATATGATTTGAGACTTAAATTTCCCATTAGAAAGAAAGTTACAGCTGTTGGACAAATATTGGCTTCTAACCAGTATAGTGTTTTTCTTACTAATACTATGATACTGGGGGGTCGAAAACTGTCCATTTTGATGTAGTGCAGAGCGCAACACAAATGCACTAGCAAAGATGCTACTGATGTACCACTCTGCTACCCCCACCACATGTAATACCCCACTCCCCGATAAAAACCGGCAGCAATGTAGCACTAAGCTAGCAGGCGGGCAACACAGATGTGACATTGCACAAGCAAAGCGACCTGTCTAGCGTGCACAGGAGGACTTTAACAAGAATTGTTAAACAAGAATTGAACAAGATTAACACTTAAAAACAATTATTTGTTTGATCAAAATTACAGTAAAGGTGTGTCTCAGCTGAACTTTTCCTTAATAAATGCACTTTAACAGTCAAATCAGCTGCGATTCAAAAGTATTCGCTGCCTCGGTGCTCCGGGAGCGTGCAGTTGGACGAAATCAGGAAGGAGGAACACTGTGCATTTCTTCAAAATTTAAAAAGATAAGCACCTAAAATAATTATTTGTTTGCTTGACATTATAGTAAAGGTGTCTCAGTTGAACTTTTATTTAATAAATGAACCTCAATGGTCAAATTAGCTTCATTTTGCCAGGGCGGCGAAGTGAAATGAAGCTGATTTGACGGTTGCTCCAGGCATGATCCCGGAGCTGGATGACAGTGGCAGGCTATGGCAAGCCGATTGTGTCATTAATAGCCACTTTTATCTATTACTTGATACAACAGCATAACACATTACTCGAGTGCCATCTTGTGGCTGAAATGGTAGTGTTCAATATTTTCAATATCAGAATGAATGAAAAAGGTCATATCTCAGCCAAAAATTGGTTTATAAATATCGGGAAAAAATCCATAAATACATCGCTTCGGTGTAAAAGTTGCAGAGCATTTAAATTATGCAAAAACCTTGACTTATAGGCTGAAAAATACGGTATATACAGTGAGGAAAATAAGTATTTGAACACCCTGCGATTGCAAGTTCTTCCACTTAGAAATCATGGAGGGGTCTGAAATTTTTGGCTTAGGTGCATGTCCACTGTGAGAGACAATCTAAAAAAAAAAAAAATTTTTTAAATCCGGAAATCACAATTTATGATTTTTAAAATTATTTATTTGTGTGTTACTGCTGCAAATAAGTATTTGAACACCTGTGAAAATCAATGTTAATATTTGGTGCAGTAGCCTTTGTTTGCAGTTACAGAGGTCAAAGGTTTCATGTAGTTTTTCCCCAGGTTCACTGCAGCAGAGATTTTGGCCCATTCCTCCACAGATCTTCTCTAGATCAGCCAGGTTTCTGGGCTGTCAATGAGAAACACTGCGTTTGAGCTCCCTCCAAAGATTTTCTTTAGGGTTTAGGTCTGGAGACTGGCTAGGCCACTCCAGAACCTTGATATGCTTCTTACGGAGCCACTCCTTGGTTCTCCTGGCTGTGTGCTTCGGGTCATTGTCTTGTTGGAAGACCCAGCCTCGACCCATCTTCAATGCTCAGAGGGAAGGAGGGTGTTCTTCAAAATCTCACAGTACATGGCCCCGGTCATCCTCTCCTTAATACAGCGCAGTCGTCCTGTCCCATGTGCAGAAAAACACCCCCAAAGCATGATGCTTTCACCCCCATGCTTCACAGTAGTGATGGTGTTTTTGGGATGGTACTCATCATCCTTCGTCTTTCAAACACGGCGAGTGGAATTAAAACCAAAAAGTTCTATTTTGGTCTCATCTGACCACAGAACTTTCTCCCATGACTCCTCTGGATCATCCAAATGGTCATGGTCAAACTTAAGACGGGCCTGGACGTGCGCTGATTTAAGCAGGGGAACCCTCCGTGCCATAAGTGATTTTAAACCATGACGTCTTAGTGTATTACCCACAGTAACCATGGAAACAGTGGTGCCAGCTCTCTTCAGGTCGTTGACCAGCTCCTCCCGTGTGGTTCTGGGCTGGTTCCTCATCTTTCTTAGGATCATTGATACGCCACGAGGTGAGATCTTGCATGGAGTCCCAGTCCGAGGGAGATTGACAGTCAAGTTTAGCTTCTTCCATTTTCTAATAATTGCTCCAACAGTTGATCTTTTTTCACCAAGCTGCTAGACAATTGCCCTGTAGCTCTTTCCAGCCTTGTGGAAGTCTACAATGTTGTCTCTGGTGTCTTTGGACAGCTCTTTGGTCTTAGCCATGATAGTAGTTGGAGTCTTACTGACTGTGTGGGGTGGACAGGTGTCTTTATGCAGCTAACAACCTCAAACAGGTGCTTCTAATTTAGAATAAGAAGTGGAGGGGGGCTTTTTAGAGGCGGACTAACGGGTCTTTGAGGACCAGAATTGTTGCTGATTGACAGGTGTTCAAATACTTATTTGCAGCAGTGTAACACAAATAAATTATTTTAAAAATCATTTGTGATTTCTGGAATTTTTTTTTTTAGATTATGTCTCGCACAGTGGACATGCACCTAAGATGAAAATTTCAGACCCCTCCATGATTTCTAAGTGGGAGAACTTGCAAAGTCGCAGCGTGTTCAGATACTTATTTTCCTCACTCTATATGCATTATAATATATAATATAATAATACGACGAGTGCCTCGCCAAGGGAGCTGATCTAGAGGAAACACTGCACTTGATGCATCCGCACGACCTGGACACTTTTCTAGCACCAGCATGCAGCCACTTTTGCCTTTTTCAGCTGCAAAAGGCAGATGAGGCAGACGCGACGTCACACCGTCCCGTATCTGTGACAACGAGGAGAATCGAGCACAAAAGGTCACTCACCTCGAAGAACTCGTCGTAATGTTCCTGCATTTCCACATCACTGACTGCGCCTGCAAAACGCCAGCGAGAGACAGTCAAGGACGAGCTGGTTAGGAGCTTTCAAACAACAGTAAGAACGTAAGATGTTGCTGTAATGGTTGCTGCCCGGAAACGTTTTAATGTAGATTTGAAACTAAAACTCACAGAAGCAAAGAGTCAAAATCAGGTTTGAGGTGTTTATGCTTTAAAACAAATTTTGCAAATGTCTGATTTTCTTTGCAAAACTGTGAACTGTACAAGGCCAGAAGGGTCATGCAAAAACAGCATGAGGCCGTTAACACTAACAAGGGAATCCTGTGCTGATTTGGACAGCTCATGTTTCTACGCTGAACCAGATTTACTCAGGCTGGTGTAACAAAATGAATCGGGTGCAGTCGGTGCTGGAGGGTCCTGCAGATAAAGATAGAACTTACAGTGTAAACCATCAGCAGACTGGGCAGTTTGGAAGGTTATGAAGGTAAATGTTCAAGAGGGAAATGGTCTGAAATACAAAACACAAGCTTCTGTGATAAAAATCAAACCAAATACAGCTGAGCTGGGGAGGGAAAAACGTTATTAGATATTTGCCGTTTGTAAATTGCGTCGAGTATTTGAGAGGCGAAAACGCAATATAAGATTATTTCTCATTGTTGGAGTAGAAATAGAACACCCCATTGTTTGGATGTTAAGCTACCGTTGTAAACTTTCTGAAGTACTTTTGATTCTTAGAGCTGGTGTGGGCAACAGTTTGCTCTCTACGGGGCCGTTTTGGTGCCGCTAAAGTTGTGTTCGTGTCAGACAATTTAACTAAAACTTGGACAAAGCGAGTTGAAACAATGATTATATGGTAACAATAAAACACCACTTTTGTTCACTTCAGCAAAAAGTTTAATAGTCAAATAACAATTGTAGCTTTTGTCAAATTTGAGGAAATTGTCACAGCGTCCAAAGAAAATAAATTCACTGATTTTCAAATCTCATCTCAGATCCATTAATACACCTACCTGCATGAGGGAGTCTACTAACCTGGGCTCAGCATACAGGTGCTGGTCATAAAATTAGAATATCATGAAAAATTGTATTTATTTCAGTAATTCCATTCAAAAAGTGAAACTTGTATATTATTTTCATTCATTACACACAGACTGATACATTTCAAATGTTTGTTTTTGAATGTTGATGATGATCATAACAGACAACTAATGAAAACGCCAAATTCAGTATCTCAGAAAATAAGACTATTGTGAAAATGTTCAGTATTGAAGACACCTGGTGCCACACTCTAATCAGCTGTTCTGTTGGCTACACAATCATGGGGAAGACTTCTGACTTGACAGTTGTCCAAAAGACGACCATTGACACCTTGCACAAGGAGGACAAGACACAAAAGGTCATTGCTAAAGAGGCTGGCTGTTCACAGAGCTCTGTGTCCAAGCACATTAATAGAGAGGTGAAGAGAAGGAAACAATATGGTAGAAAAAAAAGTGTACAAGCAATAGGGATAACCGCACCCTGGAGAGGACTGTGAAACAAAACTCATTCCAAAATGTGGGGGAGATTCACAACTGGACTGCAGCTGGAGCCAGTGCTTCAAGAACCACCATGCACAGACGTATGCAAGACATGGGTTTCAGCTGTTGCGTTCCTTGTGTCAAGCCAATCTTGAACAAGAGACAAGCATCAAAAGCGTCTCACCTGAGACTGCTGCTGAGTGGTCCAAAGTTATGTTCTTTGATGAAAGTAAATGTTGCACTTCCTTTAGAAATCAAGGTCCCAGAGTCTGGAGGAAGAGAGGAGAGGCAAAGAATCTATGTTGTTTGAGGTCCAGTGTCAAGTTTTCACAGTCAGTGTTGGTTTGGGGTGCATGTCATCTGCTGGTGTTAGTCCCCTGTGTATTCTCTGAGGTCCAAAGTCAACGCTGCCGAGTATCAGGAAGTTTTAGAGCATTTCATGCTTCCTGCTGCTGACCAACTTTATGGAGATGCAGATTTCATTTTCCAACAGGACTTGGCACCTGCACACAGTCCCAAAGCTACCAGTACCTGCTTTAAAGACAATGGTATCCCTGTTCTTAATTGGCCAAAAAACTCAACTGACCTTAACCCCAGAGAAAATCCATGAGGTATTATGAAGAGGAAGATGTGATACACCAGACCCAACAATTCAGAAGAGCTGAAGGCCACTATCAGAGCAACCTGGGCTCTCATAACACCTGAGCAGTGACACAGACTGATCGACTCCATGTCACGCTGCATTGCTGCACTAATCCAGGAAAAAGGAGCCCCAACTAAGTATTGAGTGTTATACATGCTCATACTTTCATGTTCATACTTTTCAGTCGGCCAACATTTCTAAAAATCTTTTTTTTTTTAATTGGTCTTAAGTAATATTCTAATTTTTTGAGATACTGAATTTGTGGTTTTCATTAGTTCTCAGTTATAATCATCAACATTTTTTCATTCATTCAACCTTTATTTAGACAGGTAAATCCCATTGAGCCTCGAGGACTCATTTATAAGAGAGATCTGATTTCAACAAAGAATGATGACAACAATGGACAACAACGACAACAATAGACAGTTATAAAAAGGCATACAGATTTTTTATTTTTTTAAAATAAGATGGCAAAAAAAGTAACAAAAAACAGCTAGATTCTAAGGCGAATGTAGAAAACTAAAAACAGGAACATGTCTGCGTTGGTCCTTGTCAGGAGTCCCAACAGATTTTTAAAGCCACTTAGAGAGGTCAAGGTCGAGAGCTTCCTTAAAAGAAACATTAAAAGAAATAAACATTTGAAATATGTCATTCTGTGTGTAATGAGTGAATAGAATATATACGTTTCACTTTTTGAATGGAATTACTGAAATAAATCAACTTTGTCATGATATTCTAATTTTACGAGCAGCACCTGTATTTACAGTACACACCCCCACCTTGTGTTTCTAAGTATTCCCAGCTTATCTTCTGGAAATCGTGTTTGCTTTGGCATTCTCTTTCAACACTTGCTTTCTGCACTGTGAGTCACATTAAGGCTCAGCTTATAGCAAATGTTTGCGGTTTTTAGGTATTAAATTGTAAAAAATAAATAAATAAATAAATAAACAAAACATCAGGACCTCTAAACAGTTCTGATTAAAAAAATACTTGTTCAACTTACAGCGAGAAGCGTCAGCCGTCTGAGCACTGTTCTGTGGATTGCGGTAGATGTTCTGTATCAAGATGGTCTGCAGGACACAAACACACATCCGGTCAAACAGGACGGATGACTTCTGTTTAACAGCAATATTATTGACCTTTTTATTTTAACTGTTGACAAAGACTAGTGAAGGCATGACACGCCACTTTTTCATTCGTTTAATCTTTATACAGGTTAGTCTCACTGAGCCACGAGGACTCATTTACAAGAGACACCTGATTTTAACAAAGAACACCAATGAGGCACAGACAACAATAGACAATCATCTAAAAGCATATCAAATTAAAAGTAAATAGAAGACAAAAAATAAATAAAAACAAAACAAAGCTACATGATAAAGCAATGTAAAATACTAAAAACAGGAACGTCTGCATTGGTTTTTGCCTTGAACTTAGCAATAGTTTAAAATCCCTTAGAGAAGTCAAGAGCTTTAGATCTTTTTGCAAAGTGTTCCAGGAAACAGGAGCGGAGTAAAAACAGGCCTTGTTGCCAAATTCGGTCCTCACTGAGGGAACACCGCAAGTAATAATGTACTGAGAGTGAACACTGTAGCTGCATTGATGGAGTGACATGTAGGAGATGTATGAAGGCAACAAACCAAGAAGTGATTTAAAGATGAAAATGTACGAGTCTGTGTGAAGTTAATGTCCAGTTAACCTGTGAATACAGGGTGCAGTGATGGGTATGGTGGTTACAGCCAGTTGTGAATCTTAATGCACCGTGACAGCTACAAGGTGTTTCCTAGCATTCAGAGTTAGACACGATTTATTTCTGAAAAAGAAACCCAGTTTAAAGTTCAGTTCCTTTACCAAGTTTTCTACATGAGTCTTAAAAAGATGCGAATCGACCAAGACTCCCAAGTATTTATAAGAATCGACAAACTCAATAGGGACACCGTTTGAAGATAAAATCAAGGACAGGACTGCTGTTACATACCTCCTGCAAAACAATAAACAGCTGTGTGTCGGCATAGAAATGTAGGGATGCATCAGGAATGAACTGACCTACTTTATTTATGTAGATTGTGAAGAGGGTGGGTCTTAAGACTGAACCTTGTGGTACACCGTTGTTAACAGATAACTGGAAAACGTACCATTACGGTGCCACAATGCTAGTTGCGTAACGGTACATGTGGGTGTATTGAACCGTTTCGGTTATTTTTTCACTCATTAAATTTTATTAACGAGAGATTAGGCGCCGCGGAACTAAAGTTCCTATGCGTGTTTCAGCACGGCGCTATTATCTTGCAGCACGCGTAGCATTAGCAGCCTAGCATCTCGTTGTGGTCTCCTGTTTGGGAACGTTATGGCTTTCTTGTTAAAAGACAAGTGAACAAATCCAAAGCTGTGTGTCGACGTTGTTTCACGGAGATTGGATCTGCAGCAGCAACACGTCTAACTTGTTAACGCGCTTGAAACGACATCATCCGAATCATGAACGTAGCTTTGTGCAAACACCGATAACAGCAGCATTTAAAACAACCTTCATCAGATAATTCAGATCGGTCCAAAGCAATAACACAAGCTGTAGGAGCTTTTAAAGCTCTGGATCTACGTCCGAATGTTGTTGATGGGCTGGTTTTTAAGCCTCATTATCTACGACATCCCATCACATCAACACTTCAGTCAAAAAGTCGTAGCAGCACTTTATGAAAAAGCTAAAACTGATCGTCAACAAGCCCGACCCCAGATTTAAAGCCCTGATGATGATCGAGAGATTCAACCACCTCATATGATGACCGTGCAAGAAGAGATATTGTTATTGTATTATTGCGATCTAATTAACTTTTTTTTATTTAAAATTATAATCTTGTTAACTCATTTTTCTTTATTGTTTGCAGTCTGAGGATGTCAATGAAGATAACAGCTGAGTCTTTTTCAGCCACCAGTTCACCTCCAGCTAAGAAGTCTGTAATGACTGAACTTGTTGACTTGGCATATTTTCAAATAAACATTTTTAAGTCTTTATTTTGGCCTTTTTTGTACCGAAAATTAACCAAGCCTTCTTTGAAACTGAACCCAACCAAAATGTGATTTTAGCGTACCATTACACCCCTACTAGTTGCACCCCCCCCCCCCCAAAAAAAAGAGGAAAACGGAACAGTAAAAAACTGTGATCAAAGATAAATGTACACCTATTACAACTTGTGAGTATTTGTGTGGTTTATTTCTTTCGACCTATACAGTAATGCATAAAGAACAAACTGACATTTTGGATCGTTTTACTGTAGACGTGTTGCTGCATTATAGATTTGCTGACGTGCAGTTTCAGCCAGGATAAGGTTAAAATGCCATGACAACGCATAGGAACTAAAATGCGATGGGAAGAAAATAAAAGTTCATATCCCCTGCCACCTTTAATTCTAGAGTTGAACTAAAACCATCTCATGATGAAGAATTACAGAATTCGTTTTGGCCAAACTTAAAAATGACGTCCTGCACAATCTGATCCTGTACTGTGAGATTTTGCAAGACGTGATTGAGGACGTGTTGTCGATGACTCTCAGCTACTACCAAACAAAGTGAACTCTGCAAGGCGGACAGTGTTATAGTAATTTTGGTGTTGGTAAGGCTGATTAGCTGTGGTGGCCATCTTGAAACAAAGTGAGTCCAAAAGTTAATCACATGTACAACTATCGGTAACTATCTGTACTTTTAAGGCCAATGCTGGACTTTCTGGGAATCAATATGTGAGGTGTTTGCTGGCGCATAAATAATGTATTAAAAAAAATCCAATACAACAAAAAGTCACTTTAAGGAAAAATTCAAAGAGGAGATATATGGATACAGTTAGAGAGGACATGGAGGTAGATGGAGTGAGGACAGAGGATGCAGAGGACAGAGTGAGATGGAGGAGGATGACTCGCTGTGGAGACCCCTGAAGGACAACTAGAAACAACTCTTATTGTAAACAAAACATCATTTTATTGACATTTTCTTGTGGATTATTAGTTGCTGTACATGTACACTATACCTCCATCTAAAAAAGTTAAGTCTGGTCCTCTGGACATTCAAAAAAACAAACAAAGCCAAACAACAAAAAAATGTAGAAACGTTTCATCTCTCATCCGAGAAACTTCCTCAGTCTGAGGTGCCGTATTCAGCTCAGTCTCTTAAATAGCACCTTCTCAGAGTGGATCAACCAGTTTGCTGCTGACAACCAAAACCAGCTGCTCACATGCTCAAGAAGGACCATCAGCCTAACAATGGATCATTAGCACACTGATGGCTGTTTACTATTCACAGGGGGCTGAGTGATACTAGCAATCACAGCATTGTAATGCAATGTAATGTAACAATTTATAAGACTGAGCTGAATACAGCACCTCAGACTGAGGAAGTCTTTCGGATGAAAGACGAAACGTTTCTACATTTTTGTTTTTTGAATGTCCAGAGGACCAGATTTAACTTTTTTTTTTTAGATTTTTCTACCTGGATTATTGAGCATGCATCAGGATACTATACCTCCATGTTTGTGTTGTGAAAATTTTACATCTTCGAGTACAACACCACATTAAACAAATCTCAGATTTGCACTGATTTTAACGACTTGACCATGTGAAAATCCAAATAAAACCAAAAAAATAACACCCCTGTATGTATCTGGGCGTACCTTGAATCAGTAAGGGTACAAAAGATGTCACTTGCTGCTCAGAAATCAGATAGTGAGCTTAGACAATAAAAGACGAGGAGAAACTCACCTGGCTGAAGGTTGGTTTGTTGTGCAATCTCGAGCAGCGGTCTCCATGTCTGCACGCTCCAATTTTGAAATAAAAGGAACAATTAACCCTGGAAAAGGACAAAACACTGTTATCACAAGCACACAATCTTTTTATTCTGCTCCAATATGTATTGCACTTGATAATGATTCAATAAGTTGAAAATTTTGTTGACACTAAAATAACCTAAAAAAAAAAAAATGCAATTTCCATGTGGTATCAAAATATGTAAACTGGGGAATTTGGACGATTATAGTAATCTTATAGCTTTACAAACATGACAAGGCATGCAGGTTAGCAAAATGACAGCTCCAAACAAGTGCTTGAACCTAAAATTCTGAGCTAACATTGTTTCAGTGTTTTCAAAATGCGTTAAACATCATAAAAACACAACGCAATGCAAATAAATTATCTATAAGCAGCTTTGAAGCAGAATGAGTGAAAGCATGCTAACAAGCTGCACAGGCTAAGCGTTAAGTGGCTTTATTATCCTGAAATGTACTCTTAAAATGAGGGGAGAAAAGGTACAGCAGAAATTTTTTTAAAGATAACGAAAGCAAGAGTTTATAAATATTTTGGCGCAAACAGCACAATGTGGCTTCAGGTGGTAGGAAGACCCGTGAGTTTCATTCAATGTGGTAGCTAACACAGCTAGCTTCCCTTCGCTAACTTAAAGCATGATTTGGACCTTCAGCAGAGCAAAGAGAACAAACTAACCTCAGCTGGTGGTAAATAAAAGCAGCTACAAATAAACTGAACACGAAAGCCCCATGTGAAGCGGTAAGTTCGGAAAAAAATAATTAAACTTACTTGTCTTTCTCTGTGCCGAAAATGGATGCCAGATACTCCGCCATTATCGCCCCGTCTAGGACGTATTCGTCTACGTCATTACGTAATGAGGGGACGCATAAAATGACCGCTTGCACTGTGTTCAAATCACCGTGTGGGGGCGCTGTTGTTGCAAAATACATCTGAATAAAATCCCATGTTCTAACACAAACTACAAAGTACGATTCTTTGCATCTAATTCTAAATATTTTTAAACGAGGATTATATTTGTATTTTGGGAGAACTTTGAAAATCCATGCTTATTAAGATAGCAAAGTGGTAAAAAAAAAAAAAGTACACATACATCAAAGTTCATGCTCAATAATCCAGGTAAAAAAATCCAACATAGCTAAATCAGGTCATCTGTACAGTTTATTTTTTATTTTTGGAAATGTTTCATCCAAAGGACTTCATCAGTGCGAGGAGCCACAACAAAGTCAGTCCCACATGCAGCACATTCACATAGTGGGCCAACAAGTTTACTGGTGATAAGATGGTTTCTGGAGCCCGCCCTTTCCACCGTCGACTCCTCTGAAGCAGCCATAGCTAAAGTGGTTCAAAACATAAAAAAATACATCTGAAAATCCATAAACCATTTCCATCAAACTGGTTGTCCCACTGTGTGAGTGTGCTGCTTGTGGGACTGAGTTTGTTGTGGCTCCTCGTACTGATGAAGTCCTTTGGATGAAGGACGAAACGTAAAAAAAAAAAAAAAAAAACTGTCCAGATACACATTATACATTGTAAACTTACAAGAGACCAATTTGACCTGAATATGTTTTTAATTTGTACATTTTATTAGTTTTTACCTTATTTATTTGTATATTTTTGCCCTTTTTAAGCTTAAATACGTGGTCAACAAGATCGAAGTGTTAGATTTAAATGATAGGCAATAAAACGGGCAAGGCTGAATTGGCTTCTCTTCCCAAACACCCAAAATTCTGGCTACTTTCCTAAAAAAAAATAACCACAACCTGACCCTGAGAGATGAAATCGCATCAAGGTAAGCCGTCGTTTGCCAGCGGCGTCGTGCTCGATAACAACCACAGACAAAACCCATGAACAGAACGGGCATTTCAGTCATTAAAGAGGCCGCAGCCGCCCTCCTCGCCTCTTCAGAGAACTCTGAACTCTCCACTGAAACCACAACGCAGTGCAAAAAGTCGAACAAGTCTGCAGGAGATAGATGGGTGACGATTAAAGGAAAAGAGAGCGAGGGAAGAGGAAGTCAGCCTGAAAGATGACAAACCACACACACTAAGAAGTGCTGAAGATGCGCTCACGGTGCACAGACTGAAAGAAGCCTCTCAAGGTGTGAAGGGGGGAGATTTGAGGACGACATGAGATGTTTCCAGTACAAGGACAATGTGGGAAACCTCTGTTTTGAGAAGTTTTACTGATTTGGATTGGCAAAAGCAAGACCATCCACTTCTCCATTGTCATCTCCCATGTAAGAAGAGGAGGTACACTTTACAGAGAGATGAGACGAGAATGAGGAAGCAACATGTTTTTATCCATTTTGACATCGCTCTGTTTTGTTTAACAAATGATGATGTGTAGTGAATCATCTCTTATTTGAGCTGGCTGCGTTCGGACGATGACGGGAGGCATCATGAGGCCTCATTCCTGCTGGACTGTCCTGAATTTCTCTGTTTTAGCAGCGCTGTTTCTCACCTCAAAAGCGGACAGTAAGTGGATTTTTTTTTTTCCATTCTGTGTTGCCTCAGTGTTTGTACAGAACTAACTGTTTTTTTCTTTGTAAAATGTCAAAATGAAAAGTCCGTTTTCGTCGACGACGATCCAAATGCTCTAAAATGTTTTAAATAAACAAATCTAATGGGATTTTCTATATAAAGGAGTAAGTTTGGACACATCAACAAATACAGTAAAACACATTCTAATGCGAAGTGATCTCATATTAATGTGTTTTATTGATCATTTATAGTTTGATGCTAAGACCAGAGTTTATTATTACATAGAGATTATCACATAAATGGCATTACAGTTATATTTTAACGTAACACAAGCTGAATGTGGTGTAGTATTTTTGACTCGTGAGCCAGTATGCATATTTTTTAACGACGTTATTGTTTTTAAAATTGTAATTGGAATGCCAAAATTGTTTAAATAAATTTAGTATTAACGGAGGGTATTTTCCAACGTGATGAACTTCTCTTTGACTTTATTTCTAAATAGCTTCACATGTTGAACACTCTTTATATACTGTATAGGTGCTCGTGATAAAATTAGAATATCATTAAAAAGTCGATTTATTTCAGCATTCAAAGAGTGAAACTTGTATATTATATTCATTCATTACACACAGACTGATATATTTCAAATGTTTATTTCTTTTAATGTTGATGATTAGAACTGACGACTAATGAAAACCCCAAATTCAGTATCTCAGAAAATTAGAATATTACTTAAGACCAATAAAAAAAAAGGATTTTTAGAAATGTTGGCTGACTGAAAATTATGAACATGAAAGTATGAGCATGTACAGCACTCAATACTTAGTTGGGGCTCCTTTTGCCTGTATTACTGCAGCAATGTGGCGTGGCATGGAGTCCATCAGTCTGTGGCACTGCTCAGGTGTTATGAGAGCCCAGGTTGCTCTGATAGTGGCCTTCAGCTCTTCTGAATTGTTGGGTCTGGTGTATGGCATCATCCTCTTCACAAAACCTCACAGATTTTCTCTGGGGTTAAGGTCAAGCAAATTTGCTGGCCAATTAAGAACAGGTATACCATGGTCCTTAAACCCAGTGGACTAACACCAGATGACATGGCACCCCAAACCATCACTGATTGTGGAAACGTGACACTGGACCTAAAGCATCATGGATTCTGTGCCTCTCCTCTCTTCCTCCAGAATCTGGGACCTTGATTTCCAAAGGAAATGCAAAATTTACTTTCATCAGAGAACATAACTTTGGACCACTCAGCAGCAGTCCCATGTGAGCCGCTTCTGATGCTGTCTCTTGTTCAAGAGTGGCTTGACACAAGGAATGCAACAGCTGAAACCCATGTCTTGCATACTTCTGTGCATGGTGGTTCTTGAAGCACTGACTCCAGCTGCAGTCCGCTTGTGAATCTTCCCCACATTTTGGAATGGGTTTTGTTTCACCATCCTCTCCAGGGTGCGGTTATCCCTACTGCTTGTACACTTTTTTCTACCATATTTTTTCCTTCCATTCGCCTCTTTATTAATGTGCTTGGACACAGAGCTCTGTGAACAGGCAGCCTCTTTAGCAATGACCTTTTGTTTCTTGCCATCCTTGTACAAGGTGTCATTGGTCATCTTATGGACAACTGTCAAGTCAGCAGTCTTCCCCATGATTGTGTAGCCTACAGAACTAGACTGAGACAATTGAAAGGCCTTTGAAAGTGTTCTGAGTTAATTAGCTGATTAGAGTGTGGCACCAGGTGTCTTCAGTATTGAACCTTTTCACAATATTCAAATTTTCTGAGATACTGAATTTGGGGTTTTTATTAGTTGTCAATTATAATCATCAACATTGAAAGAAATAAACATTTGAAATATATCAGCATGTGTGTAATGAATGAAAATAAGCTCTGTGTCCAAGCACATTAAAAGAGAGGTGAAGAGAAGGAAACAATATGGTAGAAAAAAGTGTACAAGCAATAGGGATAACCGCACCCTGGAGAGGACTGTGAAACAAAACTCATTCCAAAATTTGGGGGAGATTCACAACTGGACTGCAGCTGGAGCCAGTGCTTCAAGAACCACCATGCACAGACGTATGCAAGACATGGGTTTCAGCTGTCACATTCCTTGTATCAAGCCAATCTTGAACAAGAGACAAGCATCAGAAGCGTCTCAACTGGGACTGCTGCTGAGTGGTCCAAAGTTATGTTCTTTGATGAAAGTAAATGTTGCACTTCCTTTGGAAATCAAGGTCCCAGAGTCTGGAGGAAAAGAGGCAGAGAATCCACATTGCTTGAGGTCCAGTGTCAAGTTTCCACAGTCAGTGTTGGTTTGGGGTGCCATGTCATCTGCTGGTGTTGGTCCCCTGTGTATTCTCTGAGGTCCAAGGTCAACGCTGCCGAGTATCAGTAAGTTTTAGAGCATTTCATGCTTCCTGCTGCTGACCAACTTTATGGAGATGCAGATTTTATTTTCCAACAGGACTTGGCACCTGCACACAGTGCCAAAGCTACCAGTACCTGGTTTAAAGACCATGGTATCCCTGTTCTTAATTGGCCGGCAAACTCGCCTAACCTTAACCCCATAGAAAATCTATGGGGTATTGTGAAGAGGAAGATGTGATACACCAGACCCAACAATTCAGAAGAGCTGAAAGCCACTATCAGAGCAACCTGGGCTCTCATAACACCTGAGCAGTGACACAGACTGATTGAGTCCATGCCACGCCGCATTGCTGCAGTAATCCAGACAAAAGGAGCCTCAACTAAGTACTGATTGCTGTACATGCTCATACTTTCATGTTCATACTTTTCAGTCGGCCAACATTTCAAAAAATCCTTTTTATTTTTTAAATTGGTCTTAATATTCTAATTTTCTGAGATACTGAGTACAACAGATTTTTAAAGCCACTTAGGTCGTTTTCACACTAGATAGTCCGGTACACTCGGTTCGGTTCGGGACCAATATTCATGAGCTTTTGTTTACATTTGAGCTGGTGAGTTTGCATTCACACTGCACTGTGCAGTCGAGCCAACCTGTTGAACCAACCTATTCCCCTGCTCGCCTGTGGGGGCGCTGCACCAAGAACTACTGAAAGAAACAACACAAAAACCTCTGAAGACACGTCTTCTTCTTCTTCTGTAAATAAAAACAAAAACAAAGTGGCATCAAGTTTTAGCAGTTTTAGGAGTTATATTTTGTCATTTTTCAAAAATGGACTCAGCATGAGCAGAAGATGAGACAGAAGACCATGGAGAATATTGTTTTTCCACATAAGGCAGCTGACGGCTCCATATGAGGTAAGAGAAACGCGTGTTTGTTTACCCTGCGCTGTTGCTCTTGGAGCGGGTCCGGTCTGTTTACAATCACACTGTACTCGAACCGCGCTGGAGTTCTCTTCTACCGGACCAAGACCTAGGTTTTAGCCCGGGCCAGAGTTCGCCTTTTTGTTCCGTGACAGAGTTCGATGGTGCGTTCACACCTCCCTAAACGAACCAGACTTTCTAGGAAAACGGGCTAGAGTTCGATTAAAGCGGACTAAACAGGGCTGGTGTGAATGCACCCTTAGAGAGGTCAAGGTCGAGAGCTTCCTTAAAAGAAACATTAAAAGAAATAAACATTTGAAATATGTCAGTCTGTGTGTAATGAGTGAGTATAATATATAAGTTTCACTTTTTGAATGGAATTACTGAAATAAATAAACCTTTTCATGATATTCTTATTATATGACCAGCACCTGTACTAAGTTGTATTACTGGCATGCTTTCATTTTTGTTTTGACTTATATCGCTTTTTACTAATACAAGTTTTCCAAATATTTTGTACATGATTACATTAATTACTTTTTGCAGCTCTTATAATATTTTGAAAACTCACTGTAATGTTGGGATATTTGATCCTACATTGGGTTAAAAATGAAAAATAGTTACATATTTCGATGCCTTAAAAATAAAAAGATTACATGCAGACTGGAATTTTTTATTTTTTGCAACTTTCACACTGCGTCCTGTCAAGGAAACATTATGAGTTGTAATTTTTTTACACCTCCTTTTTCCTTGTTTTTTCTTTATCTAAACAAAAAGGGCAGCGCCTCCCACGAGGCCGCAGCCTCAGATACCTCCGTCTACCAATGTTGCTTGTTTGTGTTTTTCTTGGATGGGCTTTACTGAAATGTAATTTTGTTGTGCTTCGCAGACAATAAATTTGATTCTGATTCTGAATTCACTTCTTCATTTAAAAAAAGGCAAAAAAGAAAGAAAAGAAGGCCCAAAAGGCATTGCTTTAAGTTTATTAGAAATCGTATCTTCAGCTATTTGGTGAATCTTTTTACTACATTTTTTTTGGTCCAATGAAGCCAAAACAAAATGTTTTGGATCACTCAGGGAAACCAAACCTTTTATGAACCCGTCCAGCACCACCAAACTTGTGTCTGTTACAAGTTAGTTACAGACAACCAAAAGATCATTCACACGCAATAATTTGAGAGAATTTGGTTTATTTAGCACCAAACTGTCATTAAACAAGTGGTTTGCTAACTTGACTTTTGTAAATATACACACACACACACACACATATATATACACATATACACACACACATATATATATATATATATATATATATATATATATATATATTTTTTTTTTTTTTTTTTCTACAGTCTATTTTGATGTGAACGTTCAGATTTAAACACTGCAGTCAATGAAGCATCTAATGATGTGAGTAATCTCTTCTGCCTTGTCCTCTTCCTGCTGCAGGTGAAATCTGCACAACAGTTGTGGTGTTGCGTCGAAACACTGTTTATGAAGTGCTTCCTGGAGAAGAAGTCAGGATTAAATGTCCAGTTGAGTTCTGCAACCTTTCACCTCCAACAGTCTCCTGGATTAAATTAGAGGAAAATTATGTCAAAGTCAATGTCAGCAGTAACAATCACATTAAAACAGAGTGGAAAACTTTAAAACAGCAGTATGGGGAGTCTTACCTGATCATCCAAAAGGTTCTCAGAAGTGACTCGGGTACATATCGGTGTCAAGTCGAAGGCAGTATGAGTCATAACATCTACATCAAGGTTGAAGGTGAGTGACTTTATCATTTATCAAATACTTTGTATTAATGCAAGTTAGATTGTAAAGGTTGTAATAACTGGACAAAATTGTCTTATATTTGAAGAACGTTCTGACCTGTCTAAAGCTTTCGACACTGTAGACCAAGGCTATTCAGCAAAACTGCTCAGGGGGCTGCGGTTTCTGAAAGCCAACAGCTCGGGGGCCGGACATCCAGAGATTGAAGTCTTTATATAAATAAACTAAAGTTTAAAATGATCTGTTACCTTTTAAATGTGTTTATTTTATTGCATTGAATCATAAATGGAATAAACAGAACCCAGAACCCAAACCCATAACCCCTTAAAAATAAAATAAAATAAAATATATTTATTTATTTTATGAAGTGGGCTGGATTGAAGTCACCCATGGGCTGGAAACGGCCCGCGGGCCACCAGTTGAATAGCCCTGCTGTAGACCATGACATCTTGTGTCATAAGCTCTCAGAAATTGTTTCTCAGATCACACTATTGGTTGGTTCACTAATTACCTCTCAGATCTGAGGCAATGTGTTCAACATAATGGTACTTCTTATTAACAATGGTGTACCACAAGGTTCAGTATTGGGACCCACCCTCTTCACAATCTACATAAGTAATGTAGGTCAGATCATTCCTGATGCGTCCTTACATTTCTATGCTGACAATGCAGTAGTTTATTGTCACTAAGTGTTTCTAGCTTAAACAGCATCCAGTCAGATTTGTTCCGTCTCAAAACTTGTGCTAAACGCAGACAAAACCCAAGGGATGTTGTTTTCAAACAGGAAGTTGGTACCAGCAGGCCTTCCTTCTATCTTATCTTCGAATGGTGTTCCTATTGAGTTTGTCGATTCTCATTAATACTTGGGTATTTTGGTATTTGGTTTACATCGCTTTATAATGTAGCTGTTTTTGTTTCGGTTTATATAATTTATTTTATTTACTTTTCATCTTATATGGCTTTTAGATGATTGTCCATTGCTGTCTGTACTTCATCTGTGTTCTTTGTTAAAAACGGGTCTCTCTTGTAAGTGAGTCCTCGTGGCTCAGTGAGACTAACCTGTATAAATAAAGGTTGAATGAGTATAATCACTAACTTTTGACAGACTTGAAGTTTGTGACCAACAGTTTTTACAACAACAAAAACCAGCCTTCTCGTATCCGACTGCTGGGTACAGAAATGCACCAAGTCACAACAGTGTGGTCTCCATCCTGCTGCTGGACTGAGAAACACGTGCAGAAAGTCAAACAAATCATGGGATTACAGTAAATGGACGTGCACAGCGGGTACTGGTGCTTGTCAATAGAAGTTCCCCATCATGTTTACTTCATGGTGAAAACTGGAATGTTTTTTACTAAAGAAGTATAATTAAGTATAATGTAAGTATACATGTTTTTATACATATAACTATTTCCTATAATAAAATAAATGCATATTGAAATGGTTCATTAGAGTTTTGATTTTCATGTTTTTGGAAAGCTCAAAATTGTATCTAAGCAAACCCAACAGAACTGACAGAGAACAAAGTAATTAAATATTTTATTTGTTGTTTTTATGTGTCTTTTCTCATTGTGTGTGTCTGGTTTCGGTCCTTAAATGCTGTCCTTATTAATAGGCCACCATTTTCTGTGAACAAAAGCAACGAGACATGTTAGATTTAGGAAAGTAAACGTGAAACATGTTGCGAGAGCTCCTTACAGAGTTGATCCAGTCTATGTAGGAGCTGACTTGTGTGAAGACGGTGGGCTTCTTGGGGAAGTTGCAGCTGAGACCAGAACCAAAGCTGACGATGCCATGA